ATTTGAATATATTCTAGAAATTATTATTTAACTCAAATTAAATTCTTGTTCTGTAAATTAGTCGTTGTTTCAATTATTTAAAAATATAAAATTAATTATATAATAATTAGTTATTAATTCCTTTGTACAGAATATGTGAAATAATTGTATATAATTTTTAAAATTTAAATAAAGACTATTTAAAATTCTTACATTTGGTTAACAGTTTATTTTTATTATGAATTAAAATCATTCGTTAAACTAAATTAAGATTTATATTAAAATAGTTAATAACTCTAATATTTTTAAAATATCTTTCTTAATATGCCATATAAAAATTATTTATTAGAATTATCTTGGCACCTTTTCTGACTACAATTCTTGGGTCTATTCAATTTGTTTGAACAAATTAATCATTTCTATACCTCAACATGTTATCTAAATAACATTAATATTAATAATACTAATATTTGAAATCTTTTGTTCAATAGTTAGTTCAGTAATTTGTAACTAAAGATTCAGTAATTTATATAATATTTATTATTTTTGTTTTGGGGTTTAAGTTAATTGTTTAAACCATGAGAAATGTATAAGAAATTATATATTATGTATATTTCAAAAGTGTTGTTAATATCCAATTAAAACAGATTTAAAGGTTCACAGGAATTGACCACAACTTCAAGACACTATAATTTGTTAAATATCTATACAAAACATATATTAATATATTCACGAAATCCTATGTCTTAAACTCAATTGACTTTATTTTTATACGTTATTATAATGTACTGTAATAATGATAATAGCTTTGAGTACAAAACAAATTCTCACAAAAAATAAAACATTTAAAAAGATTGTAATTTAAAACATTGTATAACTTTTATTTTGCATAATATATTCCAATGTGCTGTTTTAATTTAAATTTTATTTCACAGATTAAGAAATAAAGTGATTTTTTGTTTTAAATTTGAGTTGATTTTAAAGTAACAAAGAGTTCATTCATTTGAGTTAATGAACAGCGAATTCACATAAGAGTTACCAGAGATTAGTTGGCATTAAAATCAACTCAAGTAAAGTGAAGAACAAGTGATAAAAACACGAGAATGGAGAGCACTGTTAATACTATACCGTATTTAATGATAAAACCAGTTTATATATCGATAGTTACATCGAAATTACTTTTGTTGCTATTGAACGCTAACTGTACAATAAACTTAAATAATTAAACAATATATCACTTTGAGAATTATTCAGATCATACGTTTTGCTCATAAAATACTACTTTTACTGCAATACCACTGTTAAAATATTAGGAAGTTTTGCATAAAAAGTATTTAAAAGAATTTAATCATTGATTTGGATTGAGGTTTAAGACATTCACACAAACCCAACACAACTCTGACGCCCACTCAAGAAGTTTGCAATTCTTATATCTGTTTGGAAAGTCATTTCATTTCCATATATCCACTGCTAATCAACTTTGTCTCGATTCTCATTGAATACAAATATTCAATAATACCTTAAATGGTAACAGTGTTTACCAGATTAATACAATTTATGAATATACAGTACACCAACTTCTCAAGTAGCATCAATTGAAATTGATTGTCAAAAAACTAAACCCTCAATAAGTGATTGTGAAATAATTTGTGAATGAATTTTTGATTGTATGTGACATCAGATGATTCACAAACAGTGCATTCATAAAACTGCATATTGTATACAGTACTGTACCAATACATGAATGAAAGTGACAGCAGTAGTTGTATTAGTAGTGTAGCGATTGTAAAGTTTAGCAAGGTACAGTAAATGTCCTATTGGCAAACCAATTCTAGATATATTATTCGCTCGTTTATCTTAACTATAATCACAATTGGTTATTATTATATTATACACATTCATACAATTAATACAATAATATAATAAACCTAATATGAAATGATAGTTTATGTGGTCATAAAATATTTAATAACGAGTGTTTGCTTTCATATATGAATGAATGAATGGCTTGAATAGAGTTCACACACATTCACACAACTGTTTAATTAGTTTATATGAAAAATAAATGAGTATTTGTTTGAAACGAGTGTTCATTTGAGGTGAATATGAATGAAAATGTATGGGAAAGGTGTGTGAATGGGTATATCGCTTGCATTTGGCCTGTGGTGGGCACAGGCATAGGCATAGGCACAGCACTGGTAGTGGGACTGTTAGGGTCTGGTTCTGGTGTAGTGGTGTAGGACTGGTAGTGCTATACCACTCCTATAGTGAGTGGTGTAGTGACGACACAATACAGTCTGACAGCCATAGAGCCATAGTATTTTCAGCAAAGTTGTATGAATACAATGAATGACTGCAATGGCAGTGATAGTAGTGGTGGCAGAGGTGTAGTGGGACTGTAGGGGACTGTAAGGGACTGTTGTAGTGAAGTGCAAGTGTGAGCGCTGTTGCACTGTTACCACTGCACTGTTACCACTACACTGTAGTAGTGTTAGTGTTGTTGTATAGTGTAGTGAATGTCTGAATGTAATGACTGAATGACTGCAACAAACCTTTTCCGTTGCCTAACATGTAGTGACTTTCTCATGAAACACTAAATGATGGATAATTTGGACAATTGTTTGGATAATAATGACTGCGATGTCAGGATTGAACAGCAATTGCGGATCAAAATCGGTATGTCTTTCAATACAATCACGCGTTCATTGATCACTACAACCCATACAAACCCATTACAACCCTTAGACTACTCAAGCATTCATTCATTTCATTCAAAACTCTTAGTATTGCTATTAGTATTGAGTTCTCATTAGTTTTGGCTATAAATATGAATGAATTTGTTTTTTACTACTATTTTGTACAACAAATTGTAATGAAATGTGAGATAAAAAACGTGAACATTTGACGTTTGATATGAATTCACATAAAACTCTATTATTTAACGCGGATTTTACACTAAAAACTTATCGACTAATTAAATAAATATAAATATTATATTGATATCAATATTCACTATTCATTGATAAGCATGAAAATGAATGAACTATTTTCGAGACAACAAGCACAATTATTTACACACTAATTGCTTTTATTGTTTCTAAATATTTATATTCACTCACAAACTTTGATAACAAACTTTATTGTATAGCCATGTAGTATATTAGTTAATTGTCTACTTGTATATCACTGCTATCGTTATTAGTAATACTATATCTCTATTAAACCATTTGATGATATTGACCACAACTATACTATGTATTGATATTACAGGTGAGGCCAAGAACTTAATGCCAAGAAATGGCTCCAACGGGTCCAGTGGTTTGCGGGACTGTTATTGTGTGATTAGTCTGGACAGGGAGCAGATATATCGGACATGTAGTACAGTTGAGCGGACAAACAAGTAAGTCTTAATTGAGCCTCAAGTCCTTCACCCCTTGCCATCTCAATCCCTCTAATACTATATTCATAACCATATTATTCATAATAATTAGTTGATTGTGTTGAACGCAACACTACTGTGCATTATATTATAATAGTCTACCTGTGCCACAGTAATACTGACCCCAAACTAACACTTGAAACACAATTATAGTTTAACGATATAATGATGTCCCCATTCTTTCTATTGTTTGCAAATTATTTAATATTAATAATTGGTTTGTCTTTTGTTTTTTGCATATCACTTGAACGGATAGTCCATTCTTTGGCGAAGAGTTTCAGTTTGAAATTCCTCGAAGGTTTCGAAATTTAGCCATTTATTTGTATGATAGGGAAAGATCTGTCAATAATAAAGACAAAGTGATGGGCAAAGTGTCCATTAAGAGGGACGACCTCTCAAAATACCACAACAAAGAGTCCTGGTTCCCCATTATACCGGTTGACCCCGACTCGGAAGTTCAGGGCAAAATTCATTTAGACATCAAATTAGACCAGTGTTTCAAACCCGGTGCTCATCAAACACAACCTAAAGTTGCCGTTCGGTTAGTGTGTGTTTCCGTAATCACTGATTGTTTGTCCATAATATTAGTGTTGAAATATTGAACAATATATGAATTGTCAACAATAGTGTCATCGACTGCAATGATCTCGGAGTCATCAACGGTTGTTGTGATCCCTATGTAATCGTCTCGCTATACAACGGCCCCATCAGACAAGAGGCCAAACGAACCAAAATCAAGAAAAAGACGGTTAACCCACACTTCGATGAAATTCTCTATTTTGATGTAAATTATGATTCCCTTTGAGTTTCAGATGATATTCATATGAATATTAGCTGACAATTGACAGACAGTTTGATTTGAATAATACTATTGTTTTAGATTCCAATTCGAGGCCAAAATCATGACAGGAATTCAGTCCGAAGTCTTAATAACGTGAATATCATTAATAATAATAGTCTAGAATTGAGGTAATTATTGGCTTCTAATTGACTTGAATAGTTTGCCTTGATGAGTTACTAAAATTGAATTAATATTCCAAATGAATAGAATATCAGTGATGCACGACGGGAACGGTATGTTTGGCAGCGCTTTTCTCGGAGAAGTAAAAATACCGCTCAATGATATCGATCTGAGCGGACACAACGCCTGGTCTGTCATTAGATGATGTGTTTGGTATTAAACCAGATATTAAATTGTATTGATTTATGTGAAGGTATTTATTACAACCGCGAGATACCGGACGCACCGATGACCGGACGGCCACCGAATTGGGTTCACTTCGCCTCAAAATCCACTACACGTTTGATTATGTGTTTTCTAGTCGTTTCTATGAAACACTCAGAAAATTAATACTTATTTCGCCAGAAATTAAAGTATATTTTATTTTTAGTTATTATATTCATTCTTAATTAACAGTATTTTATACTGTTTTCAAATAACAGCCAATCAGTTCGAGCACTGCCTACATATTGGGTGAACTGGTATCCAACAAAGTAGATGCGGCACAACCTCTGGTCAAGATTTTCATGCATTACAAAAAGATCATCCCTTTAATCAAAGTGTTAGCTGAGGCAGAGATATCCAAAGTGACGTAAGTCTGCTCCTAATGAGCGCTATTTTGTTACTAACTATCAATTTTTAACATTGCATGCAATGAATGTGAGATTTTTTCATCTCTAAATGTCTTTGCTTTCAATGGTTGTCCCAAATATAGTAAATCTCAACTCGTATGCTATATAAGCGTAAATATTTTCTTTATATCCAAATCTGTTGAACACATCATTAAGTCATTAGTTTTGCTAATTTTTACATATTTTCAATACGGTATCAGATGCTCTACATATTTTATTTAAACTGCAAAAAGTATGCGATTTTCCACTTTTCCGCAATTATTTTTCATTCAATTTTACAAAAGTATGAAAAACACTTGTAAATTGATTTCACGTTTATTTTTAAATTTTGTTGAATGGATTAGTTGAAATGCTTACAAAATATTTACAAGATTTTATCATTTATGTAATATATAATATATTGTATATTCTACTGTATATACTGACTTGTGAGTATATTGAATGAGTGAAATGATTTAATGATTTTAGAGTAAAAATCTCTGATATCATGCAAAAGGAAGGGGTGGGCGATACTACACTTATAATAGAGCAAATACTAAACATCGCCGGGGGTCACATCACTGGTAGTAATTTTATATTTTATGAATTGCATCCACTGGAGGACCAAAATGACTCAAACAGAGTTAATGCCATATTTCCTATTATTAAATGAATAATTATGTTTGAAATACTGTATGAGACCCGTGGCCTCCTTTGCCCACAATAGTTATGTAAATAAACGCTCACGAATATGACGGTGCGCTCAGTAAACACTACAACTAAATTGAAGTCATTATAATTAATTCTTAGTATTATTTCTAAATATAAATTTCGTTAAAATGTACAAATATTAGACTCCGGACAATAGTGTGGGAATAAATCTAATTTTGTCATAATTGTAAGAAATTTGGAAATGGAAACACTTAATTTATGATTCATTTGTTTAAAACAAAGTTAGACTCCTATTTAAATGGTAGAAACGGTAATAGTGTATCATACCGTAATATTAAATAAAGTATAGGTTTGGTTCATGAATTTTAAACCCATTCTCAAATTTATGTTTTAAATATGACATTTTATCATTTTAATATTACTGTAGATGCTTAAAATAGAAATGTTTGTTAACCATTGACTATAATAAATTTTATGGGTAAAATGCTCTCAAATCGACCATAAATTAGTTATTATAATTGTTACTGTGTGAATTTTAATATTTTGGCAATATTAAATTTTAATATTTTATTTACTTTATATATTAATTAGTTAAAATACTCTAAATATTTCTTAATTAACACATTCTTGAAATTAAGCACAACTGTACTTATTCTTTGGGTATTCAAAAATTCTATATACCGTAAGAACTAAACTTAAAAATGATATCTAAAACTCTTTGTATTGTTTAATTACATTAGCTTTTAAACAAATCGTCTTAATTAAATTGGGTTGAAAGTTGATCTTTGAGGTTACTGTATCTTAGTGCACAACTTTAATGTACAACAATATTGCTTCAGATTGTAAAATATCTGTATTTGGAAAAGGCCGCAATATAAAATAACTAATATATTTATGGTTTTCTGGAATTGCGCAAATTTAACCTGATAATTTACTTGCATTAACAGTGATGTAAATACAATATTCCGAGGAAATTCGTTGGTATCAAAATGCATGGATGAGTTGATGAAAATAGTAGGCATTCGGTATCTTCACGAAACTCTTCAATCGACAATAGAACAGGTATTTTTAAATGAGCATGGTTTCAATCAATTTAAATATAATGCTGTTTTGTGCAAAATTAGGTGTTGAGTGAACACAAGACATGTGAAGTAGATCCGAGTCGTTTTAAAGACGGCGAATCATTGGCTACTAATATGTCAAATCTGAAGACATACATATCCAATACGTTCCGATCCATAACCTCATCAGCGCTCAGATGTCCACAACTGATGTGTGAAATATTTTCTGTCCTCAAAGAGTTGGCCATAAAATACTTTCCCGAGAGTCGAGAAGTTTGTTATTATGTTATCTCTGGTTTCGTATTTTTGCGGTTCTTCGCGCCCGCAATACTTAACCCAAAACTCTTTGAAATAACAGATCAACAGATTGTGAGTTAATATAACCACTTTTTAAATATACTGTACCTGTAGTTTCTGACATTTTTAACTTTTCTTTGAAGGACTCGCAAACGAACCGCACATTAACTTTGATATCAAAGACAATACAAAGTATTGGAAATCTTGTCAGTTCTAAATGTGTATGTACTCTAACAGTTAATTTAATATTACCGCTAAAACATTATTAACAAAATTTTATATTATAAAGACTAATCAAGTGATTAAAGAAGAATATATGATCACACTTTACAAAGAATTTCTGACCGAACAACACATCGAATCAACAAAAGTGGTCTGTAGTCAATTTAATAATTACCATGATTATTTTAGAAAAAGGGGATTTCTATTTACTAAATTACAATCCATTGAATGTTTAGTTCTTGGAATTGATATCTTCGTCGACAACTTTATCCGTCCCCAGAGTTAATGAACTGCCGGTCCTTTTGAAAGAGAGGTATTTATATATTTTTAAACTTTAATTAAATTATATAATTAAATAATAATTAAAATACTTGTCTTTTAATGCTTTCCTAATTACTAACTGAAGGGAGTATTTAATGAGTAAATAAAAGTTTGAATTATATTTATTGTAAATGAAACTAATTGTTGATTTAATTACACGATTAGCGTAATGACTAAAAGAGCTCAGGGAAGGCGACGGATTGGCATCGGTTTCCGAAACTTTAAGAAACGATACTTTTGTCTAAACACTCAACACTTCTTCTACTCAAAAGCTAAGAACAAAAGACCTCTTTGTCGGATACCCATCAATGAGATACTGGCCGTCGAGAAACTACAGGAACAGAGTTTCAAAATGAAAAACGTTAGTCCAATGAATCCATCCTCTCATTCATAACTCATTTATTGTGTTTTTGTGTTCATTCAGATGTTTCAAGTGGTCCGCAAAGACAGAGCCCTTTATATTCAGGCGAGTAATTGTGTCGAAGAGAAGGAATGGATCGATATATTGACGAAAGTGTGTCAAACAAATCGCAACCGTCTCAAGGAATACCATCCCTCAGCTTTCATTAGCGGCCAATGGCTTTGGTTAGCAATTATAGTCTCATGTATTAACAGTAGTGCAACCGTTGTAACTGATGTTTGTCCTAAATATAGCTGCAAAGCAACCAATGAGAACACATCGGGATGTTGTCCGGTGTCGGTGACATCCCTGCCCCCGGATCTGGGGGTTCACATCGATCCCGATCGAGAGATTGAACGAATTCATACGATATTCTTGCAGAATATGGAGAGTTTGGAGACTTTGATAGAGTTGTGCGAAAAACAACATTTACAGCATTCGTGTCGAATGAACCCACAATACAACCGAATGCCTCACTTTGTCATAGAGGACAGGCATTCCTTATGGGAAACACTCAAAGAGTTACGACAATGTGTTATAAGACTCGAACAAAACCACAAACAATACATGAGAAGTGTTTGCGTCCGTACTATCTATGGGTCAGAACAGGCGCCTATAGGCGACGACAACTACCTTCTCATGTTAGCCAAACACTGCACCACTTAATCACTTAATTTATTTTATACTCAATTCTCACAAATCATTACAGAATTACAATTTGCTAAACATATGTATAATTATTGATATTATTATATATCTTATCATCAGATTTGGATCTCTCTCTATAAATATAACTATATTTACATTATATTTATATTACAATTATTTTGTTTATAATTATAAAACTTCTTTCTGTGATCTTTGAAATAATGGATGAGAATAGCATTTATTGCATTAAATGAATACATTTTTATATTTAAATTACATTACATTCCAAAGGAAAGACAGACTTAAAAATTGTGTAAAATAACCAAAAGTACATCAGAATTGAATGCCTTTCATATAAAAAGCAATTATTTTATACATAATTACTGTATTTGATAATTATTTATATACAAAACCAATTGATATAAGCATTAAATTATAAAAACTTATTCACTCCCAGAGAGAAACGTGAGTTAAATCCCTGCGCTTTGTTTAACACAGACTTTGTTTGTCTTGAGTTCATTGTCCGCACCGACAGATCCTTCTCCCGATCGAACTCAACCCTCTCTTCCGCTTTCGGTTCACTCTTTTTCTGTACAAATGTGGCCATCAATTAGACAATCATTTCATTTCTTGGATTATCATATATTTACCACTTTTTTGCTCTCTTTGTGGATATCAATCAGAGGGGCCTCTCTTTTGTGGCTCTAAATTGCATTTCAATTCAATTAGACTTTTAACACATTTTCAAACCAAACTTTTTGTTTCAATTCAACATTAAAAAACAATTCAATACTTTGTTAAAAGAGTCCATCAGTTGATCCAATTCTCGCTCTTTCTTCTCATCCTTTTTCTCATATTTATCGCCATTTCTACCACTTTTGACGGGTCTTTGGCTGAAGTGAGTGACAGACTTCGTGGGTATCTTTGGTGCGGAAGGTTTACCCATTTCTGTCATCCATTCCTCGCGTTGTCTTTTAATCTCTTGTTGTGTCCCTATTTTGGCCAAAATCTGTGAACTGTTCCCAAACTTGTCATTCAATTTGTCAGTATCTTTGGTGCGGAAGGTTTGCCCATTTCTGTCATCCATTCCTCGCGTTGTCTTTTAATCTCTTGTTGTGTCCCTATTTTGGCCAAAATCTGTGAACTGTTCCCAAACTTGTCATTCAATTTGTCGTATTTATGATGCGTTGGAAGAATGGGTCCAATCATGTCATCTGAATCGCTGTCACTGTCATCGACCGTCACATTATGTCTTTGCATCAGATGTGGAGGAAGTGTGGGACCAATAATCTTGTCTTCAGTTGTATCGCAATTGTTGTCAGAATGGGTCCAATCATGTCATCTGAATCGCTGTCACTGTCATCGACCGTCACATTATGTCTTTGCATCAGATGTGGAGGAAGTGTGGGACCAATAATCTTGTCTTCAGTTGTATCGCAATTGTTGTCCTCATTGGTGTCTTCGTGAGCATCGCTGCCATAATCGGGCGGAAGAGTTGGTCCAAACAGTTGACTGTCGCTGTGTCAATAGCATTGACATAATATGACTTACTCTTAGAATTGAATTTAGTTTTACTAATTGTTATTAATTATAATGAATTCATTCATCATAATTCATTAGACTTCTACAACTAAAAAATATTCATGATATATGCAAAATTAAGTATAACTGTAATTTCTCATATTTTGTGATAATTTTTAATTAAATTTCTCATATTTTGTGATAATTTTTAATTTAATTTATTACATTGAGCGAAGCGGTAACTTTGGGACCATATGGGGTGACCTCCTTAGCCCATACAGGAGGCGGTTCGGGCGCCCACTCACGTCCGGCATAACTCTATTCACGTAATCATAAGCATTATAGTAATTGTCAGTAATTTCTTAAATGATTGTCAAAAGCAAACAAAAACAAGAGTCAAATTAAAATCATCACAATTTAACAGAATCTAAATGTTCACTAAATAAGCATTTGATGTTTTAAATAATTACTTTTGTCTCAGATTTTGTGGTTAATTGAGAACTGCATTACAACTAAGTCTTGAGTAAAATGTTTGATAATTAAAGGAATGAATACAAAGTCTTTTCATATCCTATACTAAGATAATACTAATTACATAAAAGGTTTGTATAAATGTATTCCTCTCTAGAATACGAAATGATTTAATATAAATCTGTTTATAAATTTCTACACTATAATTATGTCTTTACGTCCATTGTTTTGTTCATTTGTTTTCTATTATAACTAAATTCTTGTGAGTGTTTTATAAAAAGCAAAATTTAAATAATTATCATATAATTTATTTATATTATAAATGCAAAGAAGTATACAATTATTGATATACGTGTATCATAGTATTGTACAGTATATAAACCACACAAACATAATACTGTTTTAACGAATAAAAATTTTATAATCTTTTATTCAATGAACTTTAATAGCTTTGATTAGATATTTAAAGTAAAACACATTTAAAACTGTAATGAAAATGCAATACAAATAATAATTTAAAACTAAATGTATTCAGAAGAGATTGAATGGAATTGATCTCAATTTAGTTTTGTGGGAAAAATGAATAAAACTTCTCACAGAAGTTGACTAGTACAGTATAAACTACAGTATAGTATACAGTACTGTGGTAACTATAGTATGGTAGTATGGTAAACTATAGTATGTTTAAGACATTTAAATGCCAAACAGTGATAATAGAAACGAATAATTTATACATAAAATTAGAATCAAATAGTGTTCACAATATTATACGATATCATCCTATTATCAATTGTCGCTAATTGTGTGATAAAAAAGTAGTAAAACTTTAACGGAATATAACCTCAAGGCTTGTGTCAACAATCTCTTCCTTATACCGTATGAGTAGATATCCTAACAAATAAAATCTTTCAATACATTAAACTCAATAATTTTTGCTGATTTATAATTCAGTCGATATTATAACAACTTTAAACAACTAACTTATGCCTTCAAGAGATAGAAACCTAAACTTTAAATGTTTATTAATTTGATTGATTAAAGGATATTGAATTACATTATTTTAAATGCCTTAATGTTTGTGTATATTTAACATAATATCTTTCATTTCAATTCAAGTCTTAGTTTTACGTACATATTATGTGTATTCTCTATCTCTTGATTATCACATTTTATAATTTTATGAATTTATTGTTATTTAGCAGAGTATTAAACTTTTTCTGTAAACTATACTATTGTTTCATTTAAAAGGTTAGGAATTAAATTTTTATTTATTACCATATTAAAAATAAGCTAAAACTTTAAATATTTAAAACAAAAGCTCATTATTACCGGTATTTGAATGATTATTATTGCATAACAACTCTAGTGTCAAAATATTTAGTGATTTTTTTAATGATTAAAAAGCAAATGTAAAAAATGTGATATTAAAAAATAGCTCTAAACCTTAATTCTAGTTTTGGTTAACGAAAAAATGTAAGACTAATATAGGAATTGATTTTACATTATTTGGGAGAATTCCTTAATAGAAAATAAATTTTAATTCACACATAAATTATACCAAATATTAATATTACGAAACCTAATAATATGCATTTCTAATGCGAATTCAATTCAAACAATATTTATCTCTTACACATAACTGAATTAATTTCAAATTTTAATTTTCGAGAATAATTTCATCAGATATTGACTTTTATTATTGGTTTGAATTTGTGATTCATTTCACGAATCGGAGAGAAATATGAATTATAAGCAGAAGAATATATTTTGAGCGCATATTTCATGAATGAATTGTTAATTTAAACACAACATTACATAACATTTGTAACTCAACTAAGGAAGACATTTACAAATGAACTACTGTTGAGATCTTGAAAATAAATTTCTCTGTATTTATGACTCAATTTGTATTAAAGCTGTTGACAACTAATCCCTTTTGAATTATAGGATAATTAACGGCAAACTGTAAGAAATGTCTCAACAAATGAGAGAATAATTAAAAACATAAAAATTAATATCTTTTCACGTCTTAACTGACAGTTACTGTAGTTTTCGTTATATTTATATCTGTCTCTATATATGTTAACTTATCTATATATGTTAACTTATCTATATATGTAACACCAGGTTACATGAAAAATACTTCTAACTATCAATTTAAACTCATTTCATTAAAATTACAATAAATCACTCAAAACATTGAACCAATCAATCGTTTTGATTGTCATTCAAGTTATTATTAAAATATAATTTAGTTTTTATATTGTGTTAAAATTAAGCTGTTTGTTATAATTATAAAGATTATTCTTTAAAATTATCATTTCTTTTATAAGGAAATGAAATAAAATACACTATAATGATTTGATTTGTCACTTTTATCAAAATGAAAACATTTGAAATCTGCAACCTTTCATTTAAGAAAGGATTATAATTATGATTGACTTATTCTTTCAAATAATTCAAATAATCTCTAATTTCAAAGTTATTTTCTATCAATAATAGCGTTTCAATCTTTTTAGTTAACATTTTAACTATATATAGAATTATATACTAGTATTATCTTATAAGATTTTTAAATATTAGTATAAGTAATACAATACCGTACACAAGTTACTGATAAACTTAAATTACTAGTAGACTACAAATAATAATATTGTATTATATAAGTTCAGTATCAATACCATTGAAAACTTGAAGATAATTATGTTTTCAGTCAAATGGCATTGACATTGACATTGAAATCTAATTCTATGCACATAACTGCCCACATAAACGTACCGTATAACTGTAACTGTAAACTGCATGTGTCTCAAAATAACTTACGGTATAATGTTTTATTTTATGATTTATAAAAGTTTGTAAAACGTTATACTAATTAACTTTAGAAATAGTTGTCTTAAAGCGGAACCGCATTGTATTGTAAGGCTTATCGACAAAAGAGACGCAACACTGAGTCCACAACCAGTGACGACACCGACAGATACAACACATATTGAGTACTATTTTCCGATAAAGTGGACGACAAGTTCCCATACATTTCATGGATATTCAATAGATTATTGACAAATAAAAAGAAATATACGAAATACAGTATGAACCCTTTTATAAGTGATAAGTAAAGTAGTGGACAGTTATCCAGTGAATAAGTAAAGGAAAGCAAGAATTGACAAATTGATGAAATGCTTACCGTATGGAGAGATATGAGTATTAAATAGTTGATGAGAACAACCAAAGGGTGTATTTTTAAATCCAACACAAACTTGACTTTTAGTTTCATAATCAGTCACTTCTAAGAGACAGTGGAAAAGATTCATTGAATAATTCAATTAATGGCAACACTTGTGGACTTGGGAATCATTGCTAAATAGAAAGACTTGTTGAATGTCTTAGTCTTACATTACTTTTCGAAATGAATATTTCGATTGTAAGACCATTAAAAAAATTGCAGTTTTTCTGTCTCTATAAACACAAACTTGTTTTGCAATATAGACTCGTCTATCGACTCGAGCCCTACTAAGGCATCCGCCTTAAGCTCATAAACTTCTTGTATTACAAGAGGATCTCTCGGTGTCTAACTGTAAGGTTGTTGTGTTGAACAGTATATTCCCGTTTGATTCCACGATTTGTAGCCCACGGCTCGACTTTTTTACCGTAGGCTCAAAATATGTGAGCGAGCAATGGGGTCAAGAGCTTTTGAGACCCATTTCTTGTTTGCTTATAGTTATATTAGTATTTATACACAAACACAATACAATCTCATACAATATACCGTATAATATAAATATAGTATTATATACTATTATACTTTAATACAATAAACCTTACATTCCATTATAACTCATAATTAGTCTCAATATTTTTGATCAATATTTAAATTTTTAGCTATACTTTTGTACTTAAAATAACTATTAGAGCAAAACGTTCGCCAAATTTGAGAAACAAAATAAGTTTTCAAATCTATAACTTCAGAAATTAACTCAAATTTTCTATATTTAAGTTTTTATAAAAAATCAATTTTTAGTAACTTTTTTTCAAGTTTATTGAATAATTTTTTTCATATTTCATTTGTCGTAAAATAATTTTTTGTAAAGTATT